AAAGTTATTGTCAGACAATGAAAAGGCAATGAAAAACATTGAGTCCTATTTAGGGCATCCCATTGATGTCTATCTCTTCATAAAACGTATGACCACTGATTGGAAAGAGATCAACAAAATCACAAAATTGACAGAAAATGGTTGGGTTTGTGGTCTCATTTGACACATCATTTAGGAGAGGGAAGGACCCCAGTACAATATCACTTCAATTAGCAGTGTTAGTTATATTATAATTAATATATTAAACCCCAATCTCCCATCCCTCTCATATCTATGTGGAGTAAAATATACTAGTACAGTATTAATATATTTTTATATAAATGTGACTTTGTTTTCATAAAATAATCTTAAAAATGATGTCAAAAGTGTTTTTATCATTTTCCACTATTTTCATCCAGATATGAGTTCAAAGACTAGAAACACTATTTTAGTATAGTTTCGTATCTGTTGTAAATAAACTAAATAAACTTGGTTTGTATTGACATTTATCAGTGAGAGTTGGTTTACGAATAATATAACTACTGATGAAAAACTTGATAAACATTACAAAATATAAAAAATACATGGCGGCGCTGACCGTCACCACTCGTACGGACACATCGCACAGACTTTCATCAGTTAGTCTGAGCTGAAGGGCCCGTATGTTGACGTATAGGCCGACAAACATTTGTGTGATCTGTAGTAATGTAATGGTTTTGGCCACATGTCGGGCCATTTGTATGCGACAGGCTTTCAGCGCATAGTATGTGTACATCACTGAATGGATGGACACATTCATGGCGACCATCCATCGCGATGTGNCTGAATGGATGGACACATTCATGGCGACCATCCATCGCGATGTGGACGGGATGTCTGAGTAGACGAACCACGAGTAGCATAGAGTGAGGGTGTGATGAATCCAATGAAGTCTTATTAACGGCTGTTTCCGGAGTACTATAAACATAGTATCTCCCAATTCAACCACTTTTGATATGACAAAAGCCCAGTACCAGAATAGCACCCGTATGTCCTACCCATTCAGGTGTGAAAATAATTATTTAAAAGTTTCTAAATGCTTAGTTTTATAACTTTACTAAATATTTGTTCCAAGTGAATTCATATAAAGCAGTAAATATTTGATAAGTAAACATGTTTTTAATTAAAAATATGTTTTGAAAACAATGCTTATTTTTCATGATAGTCAGTAAGTCCTTATATAGACTCACGCTTAACGTAATGGTGCTTTCAATTTTATTTATAAAATATTTTACTAAATAATAATTTATAAAAGAAATTCTTATTAAATGATTTCAATGACAATATGAGTGATATAATTATTTATTTGTATTAAAACTGATGTATAATTCATACAAATGAATGCAAACCTCATAATAGGATGAATTACAGAAGGATTGAGTGAAGCCTTTGGTCAATAAGTTATCCATGAATTCAGGCAAACATCTGATGGCAGCGGTGATTGAAAATAGGGCTAACCCTGTATTCCATACGATTAGCACATGTCGTAAACTGAATGGCTTTCGGTTATTCATGAGATTCTTGAGCACATGTATTACCAGAATATAAACAATGCTAATGAATAGCGAGTAATTCCAGTGCTCTCGGAGCCACACCAGTCGGTGCGGATGCGAGTGACGGAAGTTGTGCTCAAACTTTAAGGCAAACGGAATGCCAGAGAATTGACACCAATTCGTGGACCAATTATGCCATTCATATGATAAGTATTGCCACCGTTTATGTGTCTCAATAGCATTCAATTCGTGAACAATTTGTGACATTTTGTAATCAATTAAATTAAATTATAATTAGAAATTGTTTTACACTTATTAATAAATCAATCGTTAAACAAAAATTATGTATTTTAAAACTGATAATATAAGTTTGGTTTGGTTGTTTAGTTGAGACAAAAAACTTTGGTGATAAAAATTGTTTAAAGTTTATATGATTTATATATTGTGTCGATGTTTTTTATGGTTATAATAAAAAGTTTAATATTTTTTATTTTATGATTTAGCAGACAATTATAGATCTAATAAAGTGTTCAAAAGCAGTCATTTGATGCAAACTTTTATTACAAGTTTAAGACCAATAACAGGAAAAGTGCAATATTCTCAAGAAATACCCATAATTTATATATTGCCTGAGAAAGGAGTTTATAAAACTTATTATAACTTTAACATTCATATACAATGTATTAACTTGCTATGAATAAAATATAGCATAGCATCGTGACGTCAATCACAAACACATATAACACACAAATTCATTGAAATAAATATTATAACTTTAACATTCATATACAATGTATTAACTTGCTTTGAATAAAATATAGCATAGCATCGTGACGTCAATCACAAACACATATAACACACAAATTCATTGAAATAAAAGTATAAATAAAACTTCAGAGCAAATTCTGTAATTTTCACACAATATATGACTTGAATTTATTTGCGCTCAAGAGCTATATGAATGACTACACAATAGTTTGGGTATAAAAAAGCAAAAACATAAGACAAAAGTGAATTATCGGTTGGAAATTGAGTTTTGAATATTTTGCTATAAATCACATAAATAAGTGAACGAAATTTTCGGAAAACTTTTAAAATCTCTTTTTTTTATTACTTTGTGTTTATAGCAGATGTACTGAACAAATGAGAAACTGAACAATATATAAATTAATTTATAAATATATTTATGAAATTTAATATCACACCGAATTGATATAAGAAATATATTTACATAGTAATCACGTAATAATTCAAGTTTCTGTGAACATTTAATAAACCATTGGATTGCTGTCGTGAATGATACAATAAATTGTTTCCATTATTATTATAAGTTAAGCAAAAAAAAAAGTATCAGGTTTCTTACGAAACTCACAAAAATATTAATAAAGATATGCAGACATATCATAACTGAAGGGCAAACACTTGAATTATGAAAATAAAATAACTTTCAACAGCTTACCAAAAAAAACATGTTTTCGTAGAAATAGCCTAAAATCCATTAACATAAACAGTTTATAACACTTCTGTGAACCTTAAAATACTTTGCATTTTTGAATTATTAAATTGAATGATCTACAATACCTTGTCCACTCTTTGTAACAAAGTTATACATGTAATATGAAAATGATATCTTTCAACAAGTATTAAGCGCACATATATTTTCATGACCACCAAATGGATTTTATAGTTTATTATAGCCATAAATGTAAATATATATCCTCTTAGAGCTAATAATCACTCGACTGTAACAATAGATTTACTTTCATTTGTAATCCCTTCAGGCATTGCGAAAGAGATGTCCAATATTTGTAAGATATTTACGAAATAAGTAGTTTCTTATTGCTAAACACACTAAATATAACTTTTATTATTTAATATTTAAATCATAGCATCTCAATATTTTAATTAACATAATAAACAATATGTTTACAAAATCAATTAAACTTATAAATTATTTAATAAAAACAAAAATATAATATATGAATACAAGAATATATGAATTGATACAAAAAAATGTGCGCAAAATCGGTGATCATTTGAAAGACAGAGATTAGCCCTTATTTGAAGAGCGCATGGGATGTCAGTCTGAGATGAATTGAATAGAGTTTTGTTCACAAATTTTGCTTAAAATGCTTTCATCTGAACGTCAGACAAGTAGTCGTCCCACCGATCAGTCTGTCCTCTAATGCCTTCAGATTACCATTAAGTGGAGAACAGGCCGTGAGTTTTGACTGATATATCGTGTCGTCTGCTCTTCGTGTGAGATGTGATGAAACACTACTCTAATCATCGTTTCAAACAATAATTTTGACTCAAATAACGAAATATACGAATTATATTCAATACGCTATGATTGATGCAAATCTTATATTCCTTTTGCAATTCGTATCAATTCGTCAAATATTAATGAAAAGTCGACTCAATTCTGGCTTTTCTTTTCAAATCATTCACTGAATTAATTTTTGTTGTAAAGGCAAAAATGCCATAAATGAAACATAAAGTAAAAGCTTAATAAAAGTTTTTTCAATTTGTATTAATAAAAAAAGTTTTTTGTGCCAAAATTTTCAAGTTTATTAACTGCTCATAAAAAATGTAAGATAAATGTAAGCTAAATATAAACGAAATTATATTTATTACATAATATATTTTACGCTTAAATACCGGCAAACAGTGGAAACAGAATAATAATAATAATAATAATGGAAAACAACATAACATTAGAGGAATTCAGAAATAAAACAATTTTCGACAGAATTCAAGACACAACACAATTATCGACTTATTGTCTGAAAGTAGTTTTGATGGCAAAACAAAAGGGCAAAAGTGTTGAACACAAAATTGATGGCCAGTTGTCGCCACACGAGGAATGTGTCAGCTATTTGAGGACATATAACCAGACAATACTCATCCAATTGATCAAAGAGTTCAGCCATAAGTCCAGCAATCAGTCACTGTCTGACGGAACCATCGCTGACACGGACACCACCGCTGTACCAGACTTTCCATTTGTCAACGACTGGTATGTCGTATTGATTTGGTCCCTGATATTTGGCTGCATGGTGATGTTGGCTATATTTGGCAATTCACTGATAATATGGTGTGTTTTGCGACAAAAAGTGATGCGAACCGTAATCAACATATTTCTACTGAACCTCACGCTCTCCGATCTGTTGACCGTCTCATTCAACGC